ATGAAGCCTGCATGCTCGTGCAGGTCCTGGCCCTGTGGCTTCTTCCGTGATCTTCCTACTGAGCTCTGCCGGGTTGGAGCCTGGACCGAGACTGTGCTGTGGGCTTCTATATATGCATGTAGACCTGCAATGTAGGTGGCCTGATACTTTAGGGACCTTCAGGCCTCGGCTTGTGGCTGCTGCCAGGAACATGTCATCCTGGCTCTAGCTTCACTATATTTACATAATATCTACATATGCACACACACACATACACTCAAAACCTAAATAAATGGGCACGGTACATGTTCCCTGCTTGTGGCTGCAGCCGAGGCTATGGAAGCACTGGCATTTAAACTAGACACATATACATGTGCCAGCCCGTGTCTTGGTCTGGGTGGGCTCTTCTTGCTGTGGACTAGCCGAAATTGGCCCCGGGTCCAGCCCTGTATACGAGCATGCAGTAGCCGTGTCGCGAGTCCGACTGCAAAAGATTCGGGATGTCTGCCGGCGAGCATGCACTGCCCTGCCCTGGCGATTTCCTTGTGTTGCATGCTGTGCATTGCAGTGAGGGCAGAAGAGACAAACGAGAGAAAACAGCACAGGGCACAGAACTATAAACATTAGCTTGCAAGGTAACCTGCAACTGTGCAGTCGCCTCCCCCTCTCTCTCTCATTCTCTTACACTCTATATCACTCTTCATTATATCCTTTATGTTCTTATACATATATATACTAACACTATAGAGCTATATGTATATGCATATATATATACATACATACATATACAGATACAGACATATATATATACACATACATATATATATATATATATATATATATGTATATACACATACATTGTTATAGTTTATACAGATACATATATATACATTGTAGACATAAGCTCTATAATATATGTATACACACATATTATACATATACATATATACATATATACACACACATATATATATATATGTATACATGTACACATGCATATATATATATGTATGCACTATAGATGTGAGTTGTATGGTTGCCACAATAAACATATGCTAAATACTGTATATACATGTATATAGGATGAATATATATGTATATATATATAGATAGATATATATATATATATAGATAGATGGATAGATAGATATATGTATGTGTATATATATATATACACATATCTACGAGTTGCTTGGTTGCTCGCTTGTTTCATTGTTGCTTCTCTGGTGTGCAAAACAAGCAATGACATTCGGCACACAGCCAACCAAGACACGAAGACACAACAATGACATCGTCGTCAGCCCTTGTTTCCGGATGTGGCATATTTCTCGGTACAAGTGGTCACCAGGACTGCATGTGCGGTCCTACATGATGTGCATGTGTGTTCTTGTTGTGCTTCTGTTGCTGTGCTTTCGTGTGTATCTATATACTGCTGCTGTCTTTGTGTGTCGCCATTGCTGTGCACGTCGGTGTCTCGCTGTGCCTGCATGCATGTGGCTGTCTTTGTGCACTGTGGGACTGCTTCTGTGTCTCTCTCTGTGAGTGTCATGTGTCTTGGCTTTGTGTTTTCATGTTCTCTTGGTGTCTTGCGATCGAGACGACACAGACAAAGAGACAGAGGCATGCATGACCGTCATGTATTGACACATGTGCCCAAAACAGGAAGTACAGAGACATGCACAACAGACATGCATTCAGATAAACCAAGCAGGCATGGGAGGGATCGAGGCAGGAGGAGGAGGGAAGCAGCCAGAGAGCCATGGATATATAGGAGGTGGGCATGGCTGAGGCAGCTTATATAAGGGGCCGGAGGGGATGGTGACTGGAGAAAAGGACGATGGAAGGAACAGGGAGTTTAGCTTCGGCTGCAAAAGACAAAGGAAACGAAGTGAGGATGCCGGCACACCACACATAAGACATGAGAGCGAACAACTTCAAATCATGTCCGGGTGTATCTAGTCTGTATACGGAACTATCATATATATATATATGTATATATGTATATATATATATATATATGTATATATATATATATATATGTATACATATGTATATATATATATGTATATGTATATATATATATATATATACTTTGGAGAAGGAGAAGCAAAAGCCAGAGACAGAAAGAGAGAGAGAGAGAGAGAGAGGAAGAATCCAATTTCGGATTCTTCCTCTCTCTCTCTCTCTCTCTCTCTTTCTGTCTCTGGCTTTTGCTTCTCCTTCTCCAAAGTATATATATATATATATATATATATATACATATACATATATATATATATACATATGTATACATATATATACATATACATATATATATATATACATATATACATATATATATATATATATATGATAGTTCCGTATACAGACTAGATACACCCGGACATGATTTGAAGTTGTTCGCTCTCATGTCTTATGTGTGGTGTGCCGGCATCCTCACTTCGTTTCCTTTGTCTTTTGCAGCCGAAGCTAAACTCCCTGTTCCTTCCATCGTCCTTTTCTCCAGTCACCATCCCCTCCGGCCCCTTATATAAGCTGCCTCAGCCATGCCCCCCTCCTATATATCCATGGCTCTCTGGCTGCTTCCCTCCTCCTCCTGCCTCGATCCCTCCCATGCCTGCTTGGTTTATCTGAATGCATGTCTGTTGTGCATGTCTCTGTACTTCCTGTTTTGGGCACATGTGTCAATACATGACGGTCATGCATGCCTCTGTCTCTTTGTCTGTGTCGTCTCGATCGCAAGACACCAAGAGAACATGAAAACACAAAGCCAAGACACATGACACTCACAGAGAGAGACACAGAAGCAGTCCCAGACACCGACGTGCACAGCAATGGCGACACACAAAGACAGCAGCAGTATATAGATACACACGAACCTGGCCCGCCGATATGTCCAAGCAAGGCTCAAAAGGATTGATTGCAAAGATCGGTTGCAGGGCTTCAAGCTCGCAAACAGATCGACATGTCTGCTGCCACAGCCATGGATCAGTTGAAGGGGGATTTGGCTGCTACAGCCAATTTTCTCCAGTCCATGACTGCACTCCCGAACTACGACAGTGTTAGAGAGGTGCAAGCAAAAGCCCTTTGCCAGCGAGTGAAGAACCTTGCCTCCGTGGATGCAAATGGAGCCTCAGCCCTGCTGGCTGCATGGACTGCAGGAAAGCAATGGACTTCTCCACAAACAAAGGAGTTCAGTGATCTCTTGGATGGAGCAGTAGCTAGAACCAACACCGGGACAGGTCAGGGTGGCAAGAGAGCTACTCAGAAAGTTGATGCTTTCGAACCTTACCTGTCCGTCAAAGATATCCAGGCTTTGGAAGCTGGTGACAACATCCACGTGAAGTTGGATGTCTTGGCATGCCGGTGCATCAAGCTGAGGCTCACCTGCCCATCTGAGGCTTGCTGCAAAGCGATCTTGGCAGCTGGCTTGGCCAGGGCAGGCGGTGATGTGGGGGCGGTTGACAGCTATGCCAACAAGCAGTTGTTCAAGAAAATGCTGAAAAGCAAAGCCAAAGGCTTGCCCAAGAATGGCTTTCACCTCGAGCATTATCCAGCATCGCCAGACAATCTGCCCCCTGAGCTCGCCGATGCATACTCTCAAGAGGATCCTGCATGCACTGTGCAGATGCAATCTCCCGACAGGGTGCAGGCAGCATCATCTGCAGTCGTGTTGAGAGGGAGCTCGAAGAAGCTTCGTGGTGGAAACATGATGGGTGCCGGTGGCATGCAGAGCTGGCCTGCAAGTGGCAACAACAACCCCATGAACATGCAATTCAACATGGGCCTGCAAGGAATGCAGCCCGGGATGACGATGATGGGTATGATGAACACCATGAACAACATGATGCAGAGGCTCATGCAGGACCAGAATAGGCAGCAGCAGGACCCGATCCCGAACATGCAGTACTTCGCACCCGGTGGAGGTCAAGCGGGGGCAACCACCATGGGCCAGGGGCCTGCAGCAGGAACCCAGGCACCTGCAGCAGCAACCCAGCAGGCACCCGCAGGGGCATCTGCATCGGTCCAGCAAACAGCACTTGTGGCGGCAACGAATGCATCAGCTGGTGTCTCGCCGGCAGTGCAGTTGGAGATGAGTGATCCTGAAAACGACGAGGCCGACGAGGCAGAAGTGTTGAGGCAGGCTGGGCTCGTTGCAGATGCAGTCAACAAGAAGAAGGGGATTATTAAGAAGCCTGCAGGCTTGCCCAAGGCAAAGGCAAAGGGCAAAGCCCATGCCAAAGCAAAGGCAGCCAGTAAGGCCAGTGCCAAGGCCAGTGCCAAGGCCAGTGCAAAGGCCGTTGCAAAGGCCAGTGCAAAGGCCAAAGCCGCCCCGGCCGGTAGCAGAGAATACTATGCCAATCTTTCCATGAAGAAAAGGGTGAGCCTTCGCCCGAATGGTTGCAGCAAATGCAGATTCGCACCAGGCTGCAGGCCCAGCTGCTTCTGTAAGTAATAGCTGCTTGCCCGATTCAAATGACCGGCTCGATGAGTGGGGAACTCGTCGACTGCAGCACAGAGGGAGGAAAAGATCATCATGCAGGCATGCACTTATGCACATCATGTTGCCTCTTCTGCTGCATGTGTGTGTGTCTTGCCAGGCAGCATGTAAACCTGAGTGATCGGATCGGCTTGCAGATTGGTCTGATGCTGCATTGCAAGTATAAATATCTCCTGTATATATATATATATATGTATATATATATATATATATGTATGTATATTACATACTTACACACACACATATATATATACATATATATTATATATACGTGATATTATATATTGGTAGATATAGTCCAGCCATTATAAGAAATTAGTTGTATTAGATCGTGTGCATACATTGTATCATACGTGCATCCAGAGGTTTTTGTTGTGTTGAAGAAGGTTTCGTGGGGACAAGGATTTATAGACAGGTTGACACATGTTGTATGTACAAACATATTTATTGTAAGAATTGTTACTTCTAATATCCGGTGCCTGCAGGGCATTTTGCTCGCGGGCAGCCATCTTTATAATCTATGTCGCTCGCTACCATCGGCAGAAAGCACTATGTGAGCCAGAGTGCTCTGGAGGCAGTACTGAAGGAAGTTGCTGCATGCCCTGAAGTCCTTGACTCAGCCTCCCGGCGAGGCATCAAAAGGGCACGGGATTCCGAGCTGGAGGCAGAGACTCCTCATGGCCCTTTGGTGGCCAAGATTACAGTACCTGTGGAGGTGAAGAGCCGAAAGGCAGCTGGAGACGAGGAGGTGAAGATCGTGCCGACAGAGCTGCCGATCCTCAACCTGATGGCATGGATATGGCATGTTTGCCAGTCCATGCCTGGTGTAGCTGCCTTTTTCCAAAGGCAGCTATCGAAGTACCCGTGCACAGCAACCAGCCCATGGCGCATGGCTTTATACAATGATGAGATTAGTCCTGGCAACCAGCTAAAAGCCAGCAACACCAGGAAGATCCAAGGGTACTACCTCAGTTTTCTCGAGTTTGATGCTGAAGGCCGATGCCAAGAAAACCTTTGGTTTCCTTTGAACTTGACTCGGTCTTCGGTGGTGAACAAGATCCAAGGCGGGCTGTCTGCACTCACCCACATTCTGGTCTCCTCGGAATCGTTCCTGAACCTCCAGTCGGGCTGTTTGCTGAACATGCCAACCGGGGAACGGGTCATGTTCTTCGCGAAACTGCATACTGTAGTTGCAGACGAGGCAGCTTTGAAGTCTATGTACGACTTCAAGGGCTCCAGTGGGACTTTGGTTTGCCCGCTATGTGCCAACATAACAAGCAAGACCCACGGTGATCTGCCAGCAAATGACCACTCGGGAGAATTGCATGACATATCATGCATCGACAGCAATCTGTTTGTCCGCAGAACCGACAATCAGATCTTCACTGCACAGGCACTGCTGGCGAGAAGGCAACCCATGCTGAGCAAAAAGGATTTTGCCTTGCTGGAGTCCAGCATGGGGTTGAACTTTAACCCATCTGGAGTGCTTGCTCACAAAAGCATGCCGCTTGTGAAATGCTTGATGTGGGATTGGATGCATTGTTATGTGGTAAGCGGCCTCCTGCACGTGGAATTGAGCTTACTCTTGCCACTCTTGCATGTGCAGGGTGCAACATTTCAGGTGATCCAGAGCTTTATCTCAGAGTACGAATGGCCTCACAACCTGAAGAACCGGAGAAGAGAAATCTTGCATTTGTTCGACAAAAGGAGCAAACCTTCTGAGTTCAAGGCCGGTGCTTCGCAGTGCATCACTGTCTATCCCTTGCTGCGGCTTTTCTTGCTGACTCATCACTTTGACACAATGGACGACGAACTTCGGCGATGCATCAGGATCCTTTATGAAGATTTGTATGGTTCTCGACCTCCTGCTTGAATGCAATCGGACTGGGAACCTGTCGCCGGACGAGCTCGAGAATGCGATTCGGGCCCATAGCCAAGCTTTCCTTAAAGCATATGGAGAGCAGCACTGTATACCGAAGTTCCACTATAGCCTCCATCTTCCCCTGATGGCTCGAGACAGGCCTCTGATTTCCTGTTTTACACACGAACGAAAGCATCGGCAAGTGAAGCAGTTTGCTGACAACACGAAGAAAGTGACCGACTGGTTCGAAGCTTCACTCTTTAAAGATGTTTTGGGCAGGGCTCTTCTGGATCTGTCTGAGCATGCTGGCTTCATGCGGCCCCATTTGAAGTCCCCCAAGTCTGTCACTGATGGCACTTTGCTGTGGCACCTGGGGCAGACATTCGGGTTTCAGACTCTTGAGCATGTGCAGTCGGCCATGCAGGCCGAGGTCTGCCCAGGACAGACTTGCGAGAGGGGTGACCTGGTGCTGCTTAAGACGGGGTCCGTTGCAGAGGTGTGGTTGTTTTGCCGGTTGCAGCATGGCGAGCTCCTGGCTCTGTTGAGTGTGCTTGAGCCACAAGGGAAGAATCTCTTCCGGGTCAAGCAGGACGGAGCCCAGTTCATGCGAGTGGCCGAGATCAGTCGAACCTGCCTCTTCAAACGCATGAGTGCAGACAGCATGCTGGTCGTGCCATAAAAAAGATTGTTGTGCATATATGCCTGCGAGCGAATCGCCCTGCATGGCGACACATGAATTGTCACAGTTTTCATGTTCTGATCCTGCCTGCGAGCGAATCGCCCTGCATTGCGACATTGGATTTTTCATCATCCTCATGGGCATCATCATGGTTTTAAGGTGCTGTTAGTAAAATGCTAACTTCGTTAACTGTGTTTGGCTAACTTCTGTAATTGTACCTTGCTAACTGCACTTAGGTCAATTGCTATGTTAGACTAGCCATCCCCACTAAACTGTACAATCGATTACTAACTTATGTATCTACTTATTAACCCACCGCCCTTAGAAGTAGGAGCTGGGATCGATCCACGCGTCGTCTGGCAGATCAAACGGATCGGGTGCACTTAGGGCTTCTTCTGCGTCCCCTTGGTGCGCGGTGCGCTGCACCCTCGGGGGGGGCACGGCACGACGCTGAAAGGTGGGAACCGCACCGGAATCCCTAACCCGAACCCAAGCACCCTGACTATCAACCCGAACCGTTGGGAAGGTTTCGGTGGGAGGTGCAAGGATAAGTGGCCTGCGGGTCACACCCCGGCCCCTGCCAAGATTCACACGGATCTCTCGCGTTGGGGCTGCGGCCCGAGGTGGCTGGAGAAACTGTTGCCTCCGAGGCAGGGTGCACGTCTATTGCCTCGTCTTCCTCTGCTGCCTCTTCCTCCTCGGCGCCTTCTGCCTGTCGGCCTTCGGTTGCTGGCTCGTCGTCTGGTGCGCCTTCGGCAGCACCCCGGTCGTCACCTTGGGCAACCTCGACCTCTACCTCTACCTCCTCGGTCTCCTGCTCGCCGGCTGCCTGCTCAGGCTCCGCGTCTTCGGCGTCCCTAAAAGAGGCAAACACCGAGCCGCGGAGCCTAAGCTCCTCCAGGCGTGCCTCCTCTTGCGCTCGCCGCGCCGGCGGGGTGCGGACGCGCCTGGCAGATCGCAGGGAATCTTCTACCGGATTCCCGCCAGCTCTGGACAGATCCACCTCGCCCTCGGCAGCCGGTGGCTCGGATGATGCTCTCGCGCCAGTGTCTTCAATGATCTGTTCTGGCTCTGCTGGCACCCTCCTCTGCCTCAGTGGGTCGCTCCGGCCCCTGTAATAAAGGTCCCACGTGGGTCCCCTTATTCCAAGAGCCGGCGCCTTCGGAGGTGTGGGCGGCTGCGCCGGTGCGCCAGGGGCTGCACCCTCGGCGGGCGCGCCTGACGCTTCCTCGGCTGGCTGCTCCTCCTCCTGTGGTGCGCTTGAAGCAGCACCCCCCGACCCGGCTTCCTTTGCTGCGGCTTTCGGCCTCCAGCGAGCTCCTGACCCAGTGGCAGGCTCTTCCGCGACGTCCGAAAAAGCAGTCCACAACTCAGGATAGTACTCGACCAAATCTGCCCACACAGGGTGATATACGTCGACTTGCTCCGTAATCTGGCCGAACCTTATAATCGTGTCGTAGTGGGCCTCGGTAACGTCTTCAAAGCTCCTCCTCTGCACGATTATATCTTGTACCGTCTCAGCAAGCTGGATCAGCGCGTCCTGCGCTTGGTAAAAGTGAAGCTTCCTCCTCTTCGCTCCTGCGCGGCCCCCTCTGTAGGGTTTGTCTCCGGCAGGTGCCTCGCCCTTTGGTGGCATATGCTAGCCGGTGCGCACAAGGCAGCACCCCACTAGCAATCTGCCCACCAGCGCGCCTAAGGCTGCGCTCTTGCTATGGCAGGGGGAAGAACCACTAAAACCCTGCGGCCGGGTTCAAGTAGGAAACCAAAGGAAACAAAGAGCTACGGCTGATAACCAATCAAGAGGGAAGGAAGGTACTTAAACCCGGCCAACCCTCTAAAGAACCAGGGCATCTAGCTGCATTGCCCTTCTTTTTCTTGAGCCAAACATAATCCGAAGTCGCACTTGAAACACTGCAGGGAAAACCCTCTGCAACTAGTCTCTCCTACATGCTCTGCTGGGTCTCTGGGGTCGTGTTCTTTTAACTACCTTAACTTGTACTTAAAACGCTACACCCAACCCTAAACCCCACCTAACTGCAGGCTCTAAGCCTAAAGCAGAGCATACACCGCAAATCCTCCTTAAGCCCTTGTCGACTCGAAGCCTTATACCTTGTAACCGTAAACCCAAAACTCAAAAGCTTAAGCTAAACCCTAAACCCCAAAACCCCACAACCACCCCACAAAAGGAAGAGGAACCCCACACCCCACACCACAGGGGAGGGGGGGGCCCCACCCTATATCCGGACCATTGACCTTTGGGGGGGGAGGGGGGGGGGGGCTGCGGAGCGCGTGACCATATATATATATATATATATATATTTCTCTATAATCGCAGAGCAGGCAGCACATACTGCATGCGAATGACACCCGACGGAATGGAATGTCGCTGGTTGTAGCTCGCCTTAGGTGCTTCGATGGCCAGCTCCTCTGCCCAGCTCCGCCAAGCCCGACGCGGAAGGTGCCAAAGACCCCGCCGGCTTCGGAAACCTCGAGAATGCCTTCTAAAGGCCACGGACGCGGCCACAGCCGAGGCAAGAACAGCCGCAGACCCAAACGTCTCCGTCACAGTTGGCACCTGCTCCGCACCGAACCCACAAAAGCAATAATGACACACGTCAGCTGTCAGCCCTTCTCTAAGGATGAGGCCTCTGGCCCTGAGCTCGCTGTCTGCCGCGATGCAGCATGCGCCGTGCAATATGACCACGGCACATTCTCGGGACGCCGCGCGGTGGATGCGGCGACCACCGACGAGGCCGGCGAAGCAGGGAAACGGAACATGACAATTCGGACTCCGGGAGCCTGGATGGGTGTTCAGGACCTACTTATCCAATCGTTGCTATATTTGTGTGCGGTACATAGATAGATACATACATGCACAGGTACGCATCATGCTCTGTCCCGAACGTCCGAAATCACTGACTTGCCGACGACCTGAAGCACATGAGGAATGTGTCTTAAAGTGTTGCCTACTTGAACCGATTGAACCCGTGGCTGTCGGCGTGAAACCGATTGCTGCTTTAGGGGCTCCAACGGTTGTTTTTGAATTGGAGAGGCTTCGGTCACCTATAAGGCTTTGAAGATTTTCTAAAAAAATCCGCATAAGCCTCCTCAATTATGCACCTTCGAAATAAGAGTTGCTTGCCAAGAACAGCTTCTTTATCTTCTTTAGATCAACACTGGCGGGCTGGAGAAGCGAGGAAAGCAGGAGCTCCCGCAAGCAAACCTAGCAGAGGACAAACCTAGAGGAAAGCCCAGCGCGGCAGGCCAAAGAAAGAAAAACCAGGACCTACGATGAGCAGGACAAGACAAGCCCCACCACCCGGACGACGAATCCATACGAACCCTGTACCAGGAACCCAAGGGACTTGGGGCACCCAGTTGTACATCGAGCCTTGACACGTGCAGATTGCAGATTCGTCCTTATGAGTTCAAGGCGGGCAGGCAACGAGCTAAGCACAGGCAGGGTGAATGCGAGCGAGTGGGATGGAGTAGAATGTAGTGAAGTGGAGAACCCCGTCGGATATGTGCTGTAACTCAATGTTGTAGGCCTGGCATGGTGATAGCGCCGCATAGCATAGGTCCTCCGTTTGGAGACCAAGAGATCCGTGCACTGTGTCGCAGACAGCCTCGCCAGTGCTTCATGTCTCTCTACAATCTCATGAATTGAAGGATTGGCAACCAGATACACACGAGACTGGCAAATAAGTCCAGAGAACAGTGTGCTGCACACAAGGCGGACTTGCCTTTCAAGCGCAGAAGAGCTCTCGCCGTCGGCCATGCTCGCATCCGCGCCTCTCATCACAGTGTCCGGACGAATAGACTTGACGATAAGCTTCCAGCATGCCGTCAACCTGTCACAATTGCTCTCACTATGCCTCTGACTGTGCCCGAACTGCAAAAATCCGCATGTCACGCGTGCCTCGTGAGACGAGGTCATGCCAAAGCTTGTTGAGCTCGTGCTGAGTCTCCTGCGTTTGGAGCAACGACATTTGCGAGCAGAGTACAAACAGGTCTTGCTCCAATTTGCGATCTGAGAGGTCAAGGACTCGGGACATGTCTAATGGTCTAATAGCAACGTCTCTCCACATTGGCACAATCCACGCAGCGCTGCCGGTTCATCTCGTAAGAGAAGTGCTGGCACAGTACTGCCCTAAAGGACGTCCTTGTCGCGTGAGAAGTTGCAAAATTGAAATTTGGATGTTCATCGCTCACCCCTCTACCAGTTACAACCGCATGGCTGTGCAGTGTCCTGAATTTCACGCGAAAGACTCTTGCTTCGCAGAGAGTAGCGTTGCGACTCCTGCGGCGACAGCTTTGCCCCTGCAATTCCCGCAAGATGGAATCCGAACTCTCATGACCCTTCAACACCACCAGAACATTCGGAAAAGGAAGCTCCACTGGATCTGCTGACATCCCCTCGCACCAACCAGCACAGATGCAGAAGGCTCGGGTGCCCGAGGTCTCCCGAAAAGTCTGAGGGATTCTGAACGACATGCTAGGAATTTCGCCATTCCGGCCTTCTCGCTGGCCGAAAAACAGCGCAGCTTGACCCGCAAGGATTCTAGCAATAGCGGTGTACCGATTCCACTGGTGCCGGTGTGGGAACAGACACATAGACTGAACGAAACTTCCGCGGGCTCTTCAGATTTCTGCTTTGCTCTCCTTCACCTGTGCGATTTCAGGTTGGCCAACGCAAGGCCTGAAGGCTCCATCGCTTTTCGTGAAGAGCTCTGGCCGGGAATGTGCCGACTTTGTTTCTTGTGCCCTGGAGCACTGCATCAGAGCACTTGCTTGAAGCTTCGCCGACTGAAGCGTAACGAGCAAGTGTCAACAGATCCCAGAAGCCAGTGGCTGTGGGATGCATGCTGGGCAGACATCTTGATTGGCACGGGAAGTAAACTGGCCGGCTACGAGGCATGTGAGAGACAGATGTTTAATTCAACAGACCATGCCTGCCACAGGAGCTGGAGCGTTCCTTTGCAATGTGGCAGAGGCGTGCTTTGCTTCGGCTGTCCACGAACACTTATTGGATAGCTTTCGACGGCCCAATTTCTCCACTTGGCCATTAAGAACTGATCTTTACCCACGGCCGAAGAGGCGAACAGTAAGTCAACCCCGTCACGATTGAGCTGGCCACCACGGCCACCACCCCGACTGCGAGCAAGGCACGTGCGAGGATATGAAGTGCCGTCTCGCAGCCCCTGCCAATGGAATTCACATCTGCGCCTTGCAAAGGGAAAAGTGTCAGCGTGCTCCAGTCTCAAGAGTTCCGATTGCGACACTCCTGCCAGGAGCAGCGAGTCCAGCTTGGCTGTCGCCCCACGCAGGGGCCGACCGCTCAGCGCTGCTCGGCAAGTGGCCCTAGCCTGGCTCCGGTCACGAAGCATAAGGTGTTCTGCAGTGCGCGCGGTTCGGCAGCTTCTGAAACCGAACGTCTTGATTGTCTTGTCGCAACTTGCAAACCGCAGCTTCGATCATTAGTCGCTCCATGAATAGGACATACTGAAACCCCTGAGTGGTGTCCTTTAACCCTGCCCCACCCACGTCACGACGGCAGGCTCTGGCAGCCACACGTTCAGCCGAGAGCAGCAGGCCGCTAGGAGCTCGACGGTCTGGAGAATACGGCAGAGATCAGAGCGCACTGTGACGAAACACAGGACCTCGGAGCTCTTTCTTTTCCTGCTGGGGTGAGCACCCCGTTTCTGTCACGGGAATCGTCTACAAGTGAGTGGCCTCAAGCGAGCTTGAGCGAACTTATATAAAGGCCTGGTATGCAGCTATGTGAAACTGCTGCATGGCCGTGCCATGTGTATGCAAGGATGTGTGCATACACTTAAGCAGGCACCTCATTCAAGTGCGCATCCGAATTTCTGCATCCATGTATGCAGAGTCAAAGAGCTCTGGAACCTACGAGAAATCTAATGGAATGCACAATGTAGCGTCGTCAATCTCTGTGGCATCAACAAGTTTCGAGACTCTACTATGAGGTGGCACGACCCGAAAACCAATGTTCGCCAGAAGAACACGTCATAGGGACCCTTAAAGGGGTAAGGGGAGGAGGGTAGGGGGCCTTAATGCCCATCAAGGAAGTATAGTCCCCTACCCCCCTCCCCCTTACCCCCCTAAGGGCCCCTATGAACACGGTCATGGGGCATATGGGTTTAGCACTCTCGCTCATGTCAACTGTGCAGACTCGAGATTGTCCCGCCTCTGGGGCGGCCCCAATCTGAAGCGCCAAATGCAGGGCAGGGGTCACCTCGCCCGAAGAATCCAAAAGCCCCTTCATAGTCATTTTGGGCACCCGGCGCTCCGGCCGAGTTGCATCCGCTGAGGCTGCAAGGAGCCTTTCAGCCTCGACCAAATCCCCCTCGGCAACCTCAGACAGCGCTTGGAGCCAATCTCACTTCTTGAAGCCTGGGATGCTCTAGCGGGAGCAATCGACTTCCAGTACCGCACCGCGAAACACAGTCGCACACAACAAAGAAAACAGAAGCGAAAGAAGCGAGCAAATGCGACTGCGGATGGACAACATCTTGAATCGCATCTTCGATCTGACCCGCACCACAGTTTCGCCATCTCGCCCTAGAGTACAAACCTTTCCCTCTCAAAAGTCCTTGCAGCATCTAACCTGGAGCTTCCCATGCTTAGTGTGGTACAGTCGGCTCGATACCTACGGCGAGTGAACGTGCTTGGCAGGTGGCAGGAGATTTGGTTCAACGTAGCAGGCAAGCCCCTGCTTGCAGAACCGTTATGAAACTGTGCCGGCGGCAGGGCCCAAACACTCAAAAGCGATCAGGAATGATAGCACGCAAGCTTCGAATCAAAGACAAGCCACTCACAAGTCAAAAGTCCCAACGGCTTTCGGCTTTGTGCGCGGTTCTGTCCTTGTCGGCCTTTCCGGATTGTTTCGGTCCTTCTCGGGATAATTGGGCGTTTCGACGTTCTGCGCTTCGGGACTTTTCAGGCCCTTCGCGAGATTTCGACATTTTGCCTTCGCGATCTTCCGGGCTTTCAGTCTGAACTTTTCGCTGAGCGTTTGCACCTTCGCGACTTCAACGTGGATGCTACGACCATGCCTCGAGGCCTTGAGGAAAGATGCGAACTGTGCAACAGCAGAAGCAGCAGCAGCAAGCTGGACCCTGGATTTTGCATATTCGCTGTACCGAAGTCGAGGGATACTCTGGCTCAAATCTGGAGAAGCTTTACTTTTGCATTCCTATCCCGCCCTCCGTGTTTGTTACTCATTAAGCTCCCTCGAGACGATGAGGCTGGTGTCCACCACGAATTGTTCAGAAACAAGCCGCGCGAAAAAGCACTTCTGCAAGCCACACAGAAAGCCATGATGCAAATTTTATCACCTACATGCCAACAGCATCCTCGTTTTATTAATATCGCAAAGTTCGTCTTCGCTACCATTCCAGAGCTTGCACATTGCAGTACATTGCACACATGCCCGCTGGTAGAATTCTTTTGTTGCAGATTGCAACTTTCATCTTTCGCCGCCTAGAAACTGAAATTGGACAATTGGACCGGTGCGCGTTCCTTTGTTACCGGTGCGCCATGTGCTGCCGCGGCCCACTTTTTGGGGGTGCCATGGTCGGCCGCCCAGGGCCTCGCAGACCTTGGCCTGGCCCTGTTTCTCATGCCGGCAGTTTTCTTTTACGCGGCATTAAATTATTTGCCTCTGTGAATTCTTTGGTAATGGACCATGGAGCTACCTTTGACGTTTTTGGTTCTTGACTTTGTCATGTTTCGCTTTTTGCGGACTTTTCGACTTTTCGCATCTCTTAGACGTTTTTTCGAAGAGCCTCTTCCGAATCCGTGCTGAGTGGCATTCCCCACTTACGGTAGCCCTACAAGTAACACAAACACGCCAATCAATCCATCCCGTGTCAGTGTGTTTGGAAAATCTTGGAAACCACGACTATCTCGCAGGATCCAGGAGGGACTGACCAGAGGCTGCTTGGAGACGTGATACCAACATGTGCCCACCTTTGCAGCTGGAACTTAAAAGCAAATAATGTGAACAGCCTTTCACACCGTCACAGTGTCTGTGCAGGCAGGCCAGCCGGATCTGGCCGCAGATTCGGGATTGACACCAAGTACCCATGACCGGGTCCCTACGTCCTTCTCATGAGTTTGCTTCCGGAAAGTTTTGCTCCCACCAGACCGGCCCACCCGGATCCGCCTCAAGGAGGTGATTTGGTCACAGCTTTGCTTTGCCCGATCGTGTTCAACGCAAGCGAACTTGCATTGCGTACAACTCAACAGCTCTGCTCGATGCGCAGATCTCTAGGCACTAAACCTTCTTGAAAAGAGCAGATAGTTGCTCCTAGATTCATGATTTTTTGTGGAGATACGCCATGCTGCGATAACTGTGCTACTGCAGAGCACCCCGCCGCCAAGGCCAGCCGTTCGCTCTCGCCATCCGAAAGCCGCAGAGCTGCAAGCCTTGGGCGAGAGATGTCCACGTTTGACGTTTTTGGCTTCTGGCCAGCATCAGACCCCGAAGGCAGCAATGAAATGTGCTTCGATAAAATTCTCAGACATGCTTCCATGATCCAGGGTCCCAGGCACATCGCGCATGCTCGATCCACACGTAAAGTCGGTACCGAAGAACTCTCCAGACCTTGAGACTAGTCAGAAGCGGAAGGTCCACACCGATGCTCTGACTCGCAGCAGGGATCGCGGGATGTTGTCTTAACCAACTCCACGCGACCGCTGATAAGCTGATCACACGGGAAGACTCGAAGTGTGACGGTTGGAGACTCGGCTTCGGACGATGGGTCACGCGGATCCCACAAGGAGCCGCCCCACCTTCGTCGATGGACTCTTGTCACCCATACTGCCCACATCTGCCCACTCAGAGCCATCCACATCGGGCTGAAGTGTCCTACTCTACGGCTCTTCGGCTCCGGCCACTCTTCCATCGAACGCCGCATATCCGGGCGAGCCTCTCAACCAGGGCACATGGCGACTAAAGAAACAAGCTAAAGCCTTTCATGCGCTGCCGCGGTTCTTATTGTAGCCAGGGTGCAGCCAGGCAGGGATCATTCCGCATCACTGCTGGAATCATGGAGGCCTGCCATCTTGTCGTTTCACATTGGACTATGTGGAGCACTTATCATTGTTGGGGGGCCTTGTACTATTCCTGCTGCACGAAAGTTGGCTTTGCCATGGGTGCAACAGTTTGGGCTGCAGACGTGTTTGGCTCCTTGTGCAGGTTGCATGTTGCACTGTCGCTGTCTTCGGTGTGGTCTTGCACGGGTGAAAAACTGCACGCTTTCTGTCGGCGTGCTTCAGGTGCTCGTGGCATATACCTTGATCTTGGAGCGAATTCCTACACCATCAGCGAAGCATCAATTTCAAGCTGACCATGTCCTCGATCACCTACTGACAAGACTCGCGAGCTTGCGTCGATGCTTCATTGCAAGTTTTGGAGTGCTTTCATCCAGAACAGTCCCCAGCGAAACTTCTCTGCTTGCAGCTGTTCGGACATGGCCTTGTCAACTTTGTACATGGCTTCCGAGCTCTGGTGCTATTTCAGCTTGATGCTTCTCCTGCTGAGTCTTGCTTCTCGGTGTGGTTCCTGCAACGCAAGATCTCGACATGACAAGACTGAGAACAGGCAGTTTCCAAAGCCAGTCGCTGCGGAAAAAACTGCAAGCTATGCTCTGCAACTTATGGTATTTTCGGAGCTGCTGCTGCAAAGCCTGATTGGCACAGAGCTGCTGTATGTTTTCGTGGTGCATCACTCACCCAGCACCGAATCGGCTGAAGAAAGCCTTTGCCCCCTGTGACACGCCTTGACAGTAGTGACGGATGGATACAAAGTCCCATGCCGTCCCCAGTAGCTACCTCGAAGGACACAAGTGAGCCTCGAGTGAATGTCGGTCGGATCGTCTTAGAAAACATGCTGGCAGCAACAAACGGATTCCCTCTCATCCAGAACTCCAGCTGACAATGGGCTCTGCTGCACATCGCAGCACCCTGTACAAGATGGGCTGCGACGCACTGTCAAGCTGCCGGTGGGCATGTGGCGTTGACTGAAACTTGCCACACAAGATGTACATCTCAAGTTACCGCTCCACCAGCAGAAGAGAGGAGCCGCTCCCCGTCAAACCAGAGCAAAGCCTTCGGCTTCCTCTCGCCCTCGCAAGACAGCAAGCAAGTCGCCACTTCTTGCCTGGCACGAGGCTGCCGTGGCACTTTCCGGCAGTGCACACTGCCTCGGCCTCCGCAGCAGGCAGCGGGCCCCCGCCGCCGCAACGTCGCTCAACGAAGGCAGCCGGACCACGGCCTCTGACCGAAGGGAATCTGGCAGAATGGGAAGACATGACCTCAGCTCGGGACTGACGACAGAGTCTCCAGGTCCTCCAGGTCCTGCAGAGCGGCGTCCAGCCGGACACAAAGGAGCTCAAGATCATTTAGGATCGGATCCTGCTTGACCGAAAGCCGCCAGCTCCCTCCTGCACAGCGAGCAGACCACCATCACCGACTGCGGCGTACTCCCACGAAACTGGGAGGATCCAGCTTGGCACAAGCAAAACCTGACGTTCCTGGGCTTTTCCCGTGCAAGTTTCCAACATCGCCTTGGTATGTGTTGGCGTATGACACATGGCTTTCTAAACTCACGCCGTCTCTACCGAAACAGTGAGCAGCAGCAAGTACCTCCAACTTGAGTGAGCCATCAGAGCCCGTCAATCAATGCTCCGAAGGTTTCGCGTGCAACACCAGCACTACGAGCACACATGTGCTACACATCATTCAAGCTTGAGACATGCAGCCATACTGCATGCTCGAAACAGCTGATGGACAAAAACCTACTTCTACACAACATTACACAGCATTTGGAGGAGGAGACATGCCCAGTGGCTGCACATCTTGCCCGCACATCGAACATTTGACCCATGTTGACATCTTCTCCCTCCGATCATGTGTTGGGGTCTATCCTAGTCCTGGGGTCGTGATCCTTCTATCGGCCTCGGTGCAGTAGGCCCCGCAAACGACTGTCCCCCGTACCTGCAGCGCGGCTGCAACTGAGAAATCTATTGAGGTCAGCCTGTGTCCAACCTTGCGGCACTTGGAGATGCTGCACGTGAACTTGAACTCACCTGACAAACTTGCCGTGCTCCTCGAAGCCTGGATATCTAGTCCCGTGATACAGCTTGAGGCTTGCGGTGCAAACGGGCCTGTGGAGGGGGTGGGGCCCAAGCCTTGGCGCTTGACGACAAATTGATCCCCACAGCTGATGCTACTGTCACGTCTCTTCCTAAGTCTTGCCTCCGGAAGCTCGCCCCACGGAGGTGGTGGCGGCGGCGGCAGCGGTACCTTGCCAAGATCAGAAGCTGCAGGTTCAGCTGCTTCCAGGATTTACTGTAGAGTACTTCATTCCATCTTCCACCTGTGCACTGGCCCAGTGCTGGTGGAAGGCATGGTGCTCACGGAAGTCTGCAAAAGGCGGCTCACCCAAAGAAAACTTTGCTGTACTTGAAGACTGCAGATTGCCTGGCCCGGTGCCTGCGGCACCTGCAACAGCAGCAGCTGCTGCTGCACTTGCAGGTGATGGCAAAGGCACCCAGAAGTGCACCCCTGCAACGGGTCAGTTCAATCGACTTATGGACTGCAGAACCATTGCCATGCCTGTACCCCACAAATGCTGTGGTACCCGTCTGTCCGGCGACAAGGCTCTACCGGAGGGTGAGGTAGGCTGGTTCCAGGCACCTTCACACAAAGTCGCGGAAGATCTCGGAAGAGCGGGAGTTGACTCTTCCATGAAAGTTGCGAGTTTTCATGACTAGCTCGGACGGTCGCATCGAGTGTTCGCTGCCGCAGCAGCAAACCTCACACCAAGCTTCCGGTTTCTGTGACAATTCAATCCAGCGCAATCCAACTGCCACCATAGCTTAGGCCGAGATGCCGCTCTGAGCAGAAGTAGCACACATAACCCAGCTCCTCCTCGGCCAGATGGAGATGGATGTACATGTCCAGAGCTCAAAATAGTGTCATTTCTGCTCCGGTCTTCTACATGAATCCGCTTGCTGTCCGGGTCTCTGCATAGCGGTCCAGCATTGATCCAAGGTGCCTGGCTAACTCGAGCAACACGCTCGAGAGGCACTTGAATGCCGCTTCGAAAACGCGAATATGAAAAGTATTCTGCTTCGAAAAACGGCATGGGCGACCGGATCCACTCTGCTCCCTCGGCGGTCTCTGCAACCAGCTGTCTTCTCTGCCTGACTGAAATTTTGACGAGAGTGGCCGTGTCCCGCACTTAGTGCACAGTGTCTTCTGTAGGCATCGAAAAGAATTGCTGGCAAGCTTGGATCTTTGTCTCCACCAGCAATACAAGTTCCAAGAGCGGCAGAAACAGAGCACATGCCATCATCCACGCTGTACATCGGAAGCTGTACCGTACTTGCAGATCAGGTCATTAACATGTTTGCTCGAGCGAGTTCCTCGGCCGTATCCGTAAAAAGATATGGATGCATGGCAAACCACTTCAAACTATCATTCACGCTGATGCGCTGCCGGCGTGCGTATAGTACTGCAGGATCTGCTGTAACTCAAGTCGTGCGTTTGAAACGCTTGCCGCCGTCCCTGTCAGATTCACCTTCAGCTCCGTACCGACGCGACACAGTTCCGCCTGGACGCCGAACCAGCCACTTAGCTGCACCAGGTCCTCAAGTCCGCATGATTTGGTGGTGCGGGGCATGCCACTCTCTTGTCTCTATTCACTTCCGGATTTCTTAGTTATTCCGCTCGGCATTGGAGCCAGGAAGTTTCAGTGTGTGCCATGACCACTCTTCGAAAGCATCACAAGCAGCAGCACACATCTCCACAGCAACATACATCTGCACTTTGATTCTGAACTTGTGCTGAGCACAAGGAAGAAGTTCAACAGTAAGTTGCGTCAGAAATCAGTCGATATAAAGCTGGGGCACGGACGACTTCAAGATTGTCCAGCGCATCCGGTGGCAGTAGAACTGATGCAGTTTGGGCTTGCACAGGCTTGTACAGATCTGCATAGGCTGCTGCGGCAATCTGGATTAGCCAATTCGCCTCGTCCCCGGCCGAGTGGTTAGAGATTTCAAGAGGGATCCTTCTGTCCAGACTCTTTGTGGACTCGTTGACCCACCCCGGGGGCACCTCTGTGGGAGTTGGACTTCAAGTGCCGTTAAGCAATCCAGCACAATTTTCTCTCACGAAACCTCCCCACCCCCCGTTCTTTCGCCCGAGTCCTATCGTGCCCACCCCGAACCCCTCCCTTCCGTTCCCCTGACCACAAATCCCGCTGATAGTTTGTACGTTCCTGCCTGCAACCGCGGCAGCGTCCATGTTCCCCGCACAGACCGAAAATCAACCCAAAGCCAACCGAATCCAACCGACGGCGAACAAGACTCCTTGTTTGCTTCCGGGCGGTGCCTTTGAAGCCTCGCACCGCACTCATCACAACTGGTCGCACCCGAAAGTCGGCAACGCCAGCAGAATAAGAAATAATAATAGTAGTGACAGTCGTAGTAGCAGCAGCAGCAGTGTAGCAGTAGCAGTAGCAGTAGGAGCAGTGTAGCAGTGTAGCAGTGTAGCAGCAGCAGCAGGAGCAGCAGCAGCAGCAGCAGGAGCAGGAGCAGGAGCAGGAGCAGGAGCAGGAGCAGGAGCAGGAGCAGGAGCAGGAGCAGGAGCGAGGAGGAGGAGGAGTAGTAGGAGTAGGAGTAGGAGTAAGAGTCGGAGTCGGAGTCGTAGTGGTAGTGGTAGTGGTAGTGGTAGTGGTAGTGGTAGTGGTAGTGGTAGTGGTAGTGGTAGTGGTAGTGGTATGGTAGTGGTAGTGGTAGTGGTAGTGGTAGTAGTAGTAGTGGTAGTAGTGGTAGTAGTGGTGGTAGTGGTAGTGGTAGTGGTAGTGGTAGTGGTAGTGGTAGTGGTAGTGGTAGTGGTAGTGGCAGTGGCAGTGGCAGTGGCAGTGGCAGTGGCAGTGGCAGTGGGCGTGGGCGTGGGCGTGGGCGTGGGCGTGGTCGTGGTCGTGGTCGTGGTCGTGGTGGTGGTGGTGGTGGTGGTGGTGGTGGTGGTGGTGGTGGTGGTGGTGGTGGTGGTGGTGGTGGTGGTGGTGGTGGTGGTGGTGGTGGTAGGGGAGGGGTAGGGGTAGTGGTAGCGGTAGTGGTAGTGGTAGTGGTAGTGGTAGTGGTAGTGGTAGTGGTAGTGGTAGTGGTAGTGATAGCAGCAGCAGCAGCAGCAGCCGCCGCCGCCGGCGTCGTCGTCGTCGTCGTAGTAGTACTAGTAGTAGTAGTCGTCGTCGTCGGAGGAGGAGGAAGAGGAGTGGTAGTAGTCGAAGTAGCGGTAGCACTAGCAGTAGCAGTAGCAGCTGTAGTCGCAGCAGTCTCAGCAGTCGCAGTAGTCGTAGTGGCCGTAGTCGTAGTAGTCGTAGTAGTCGTAGTAGTCGTAGTAGTCGTAGTAGTCGCAGTAGTCATAGTAGTCGCAGTAGTCGCAGTAGTCGCAGTAGTCGTAGTAGTCGTAGTAGTCGTAGTAGTCGTAGTAGTCGTAGTAGTCGTAGTAGTCGTAGTAGTCGTAGTAGTCGTCCAAAGCAGTCGTGGTAGTAGCAGCGTCGTTGGCAGCGGCAGTGGCAGCGGCAGTGGTAGTGATAATGGTGGAGGGAGCAGCAACAGTATTGGTAGTAGCACTCGTATCTGTTACTGTGGTTCGTGTCCCACTAGTACTGCTGATACTTACGATACTGGTGATCACAGCCACCACGGCAGGAGTTGTCAGCGATTCCCTGAAAGAACTTCTGAGTCGTTGTGCTTTGGCCAAGCCAAGCTGATGTAGATGCTTCCAAAACAACCCTAGCAAGGCCCAAAGTAAAACATCGCTTTCTTCATGAGGCAGCGGAGACCCTAATTCAAGCCGCGGAGCTGTCCACAGGCACTTGCTGCGTCTGTACCTCCAAACTCTGCTTGGCCTGCGGGTGCCGTTCTGCAGCCACGGCCACGGCTGATTAAAGAGCGCAAGACTGACGGAAGGCAACGGAAGCAGGCTTCTCGGGTGAAAGCTATAAAGGTCGGCATGCGCGGCCCTTGCGTGAATCATGTCAGCTTCGATCCAAGTGTTCAGATCGTGTGATGAATACCTCATCAGAGGGCATGCAAACACGAATCTGCCGCCAAAGATAGACGTCAGCCACTACGTGACACGAGTTACGGCAGCAGTGTAGCCCATGAGTGCAGCCAAATAACATCCCATCATAAGCAATGAATCTTCAGCGTGTTGTTGGCAGACTCGCCGGGACGCGAAACATCTATCTGCACAGCACCAATTTCGTGCCTCCCGTAGCTCCGAGTCGTCTATCAGCAGCAGCCGAGCACCGTCGCGGCAGCACCGCTCAAAGGTGTGTGCCAACTCTTCCTCGCCTGGGCTGAACACCACTTGCATGGTTCAGTGTTCCTGCATCCAAAACGCGATCTAGCAGCTCGCATCCAACAGGGGATGGCCGTCAATGGACACAATAACCTCAGCCACCAGGACCAGTGGACGCTCAGCAAACACCGACACAAAGCGCAAAGGATTTGCACACCGTGGGCCGCTAGCCACGATCAGAGTTTGCAACAGGCCAACGTAACGTCTTGCTTTGACTGAGCAGCTTCGCCAGTCTTCATTGCGCCTTGACCTGGTGATTCTGAAATAGCCTGCCAATTGTTGCCACACAGCAGCTCAAGCGAAGGATGCAGAGGAAGCCCCCAAGTATTTTGCCAGTATATGCCAGTGAGAAATGAGACGAGCCGTACCCCAAAATGCAAACGGCTCTGTGCCAGGAGCACGACTGTTTACTTTGAACGGGGGAGACCAAAGCGGCCACAGCGACTTGAAGGCCAAAACCACGGGACTGTGCGGTGAGCATGATGTGAACGCCAAAGCACCCACAGAAATATGTACTCACGGTACTGTGGAGCGCGACGCATCAAGTTTAAAGTGCCGAAGTATTGGACTTGAAAACGCCTTCAATGCCTTCGGCGTCTGTGGCCGGCATGGAACTGCGGAAACAATACGACTTGAGTCTAAAATGTGCGCAGCGGCAGCCTCGGAACGGCTCCGGGTGCACCGAAATTGACTGCTTCCACAGAACGGCACTGCGCACCTACGTCGAGAGCCTCCGACAGCAACCTACTTCCTATGGTCTGAACGCAAGAACCGCACTGCCTTGCCACGCTGTTTGCCGTTTACGAGACAGGCCTTTGTATCGATTCACTGTCGCGAGTTATTTAGCTGGACCAATGTTCACCCACGCTAATATCGCTTTAGAAAATGCTATGGCAGCCTTCTAGCTGATTCGACCCTCAGTTGTTTGAGTGCTCAAGATGTAGCACCTGATTCTTGTATTAGTCTTCCATGTGTCCTTTCTATGTTCCATATTCCAGTGAAGTCTCCGAACATGCTGCCAGCAATACGATTCTATGCTGTATGGCCTCGACACGATAGCCGAAGCTTGTAGCAGCAAGCTTCAGCCCAGGACCTGACGCTGACATGACTTGGATCATCGAAGCTTGTAGCCCGCGGTAGCCCACTGGCAAGTGCCTCCAGCATCAACTCTCAGCTTCCACCTGAGCACAAGTCCAAAATGCAAGGGGGTCATGTTGGTTTCGATGTGCAGCCACGGCCCTGGCACCGCCGCTTAACTTGCTGTGAATTTGGGATATTTTGGGATGTCTAACACTCCAAGATGTCCATGATGTCTAAAGTACTGTACCATTTCCACACCGTCTTCGCTGCGTTTGAAAACGAAAACTCGTCGCGTGAGCCTGCTGCCCTTGCCCTGCACTGAGAAAATTCATTCCCATTTGGGGTCAAATGTCTGGATCTCGGGTTGGGGAGTTCACGTTTCCGTGTTTTTTTGTTCGGGGTTTACGGTGTACAGTTTCGGGATGAGGGTTCAGGAGTTTGGGTTTGGGGTCCAGGCTTCCGGGTTTGGGCTTCGGGTTCAGGAATTTTGCGGCCACGGTTTAAGCCGTAGGGAGGGTTTGGACCTCCACTTTTGCGATTGAGGGTTTGGGATTAGGGTTTGAGGTGTGGGGTTTGGGATTTAGGGTGGGGAAGTGAAGATTCTGGGTTTAGGTTGAAGTTTAGGGTTGAGGGGTTTTTTGTTTGGGGGCTTGGGCATAGGTGTGCTGAGCAGCTGAGTGAGATGGTCCTGAAATCCTGAGGCAAACGACAAGAAGCGGACAAAAGCCAAGGCTTGACACGGATAAAACAT